TTTTTTTTTTTTTTTTTTTTTGGTACCAGGTATTGAACTTGGGACCTTGTGCCTTGTGCAAGGCAGGCAGCAGAACTACTGAGCTAAATCCCAGGCCCTTTGTTTTCTCCTTTTTAAAGGCTGAATAATATTCCATGGTATAGGTACACCTTTTTTTGTTAGCCTGTCTGTCAATGGATATTTATGTTGCTTCCATATCTTGGTTACTGTGAATGATGCAACAAACACGTGTCAGTGTTACTTTGAGATGCAGATTTCATTTCCTTTGTATCTGGACCCTATGGGTACAGCTGGATCATATACTGGTTGTGTTTATAATTTTTTGAGGAGCCTCTATACTAGTTTCCATAGTTGCTATAGTAACTTACATTCCCACCAGCAGTATACAAGGTTTCCCTTTTCTCTACATCTTGCACATTTATTTTTTATTTGGTTTTTGATAGTAGACATTCTAACAGGTCTGATGTGAGTCTCAAGGTGGTTTTGATTTATATTTCCCTGACAATTAGTGATGTCGAGCATTTTTTCAAATACCTTCTGGCCATTTGTATGTCTTCGGGAAAATATCTGCTTCAGGCCCTTTGCCCACTGTTTAATGTTTTTTCTATCAAGTTGGACCACTTCTTTATATGTTTTGGATACCAATCTTTATTAGATAAGTCACTTGTAAATATTTTTTTCTCATTCTATAGATTATCATTTCATTTTGTTAAATGTTTCATTTGCTAGGAGGAAGCTTTTTTTTTTTTAAATGAGGCAATCCCCCTTGTTTATTTCTGGTTTTGGGGGGTTTTTTTGTTTGTTTTGTTTTTTGAGACAGGGTCTCACTATGTAGTTGAGACTGACCTGGAGCTATGTAACCCAGGCTAGCCTCAAACGCATAGTGATCCTCCTGCTTCAGCCTCTTGAGTGCTGGGATTACAGGAGTGCGCCACCACGCTTGGTTTATTTCTGTTTTTGTTACCTGTGCTTTTGGTGTCATATCCAAAAATCATTTGCAAGTATTTGTTTAGTTATTTGTTGCTCATGTCATCTACTAGAAAATGCTTCCTGAGAGCAGAAAACAGATCTGTCTTATTGACTACTGTATCCATATTCCAGTATCTAAAACAATGCCTGATACTAGGTGGCCAATACATTTTTAATGTGAATTGTCAGGGTATCCTGTGATCATCTCAGCTGATGCTGTGGCTGAGTAGGTAGTCGGAAGCTCACATGATCGTAGGGACCCATACTCTTCCAATTATCAAATACACCACAGCCTTCATGACTCATATTCTTTTTTTAAATTATTAGATAAACATTTCTTGAAAAGCTTTACTGAGTTATAATTCACATGCTATGTCATTCACTCATTGAAAGTAAAAAAAATCCAGTGGTTTTTTTGTGTGTGTGTGTGTGTGTGTGTCCTCACAGAGCTGTACAACTATTACTACAGTTTTATAATGATATCAGTAGTTCCAAAAGAAAGTCCATACCTTTCAGACAGCACCCCTCAGTTCCTCCAACATCCCCAGTACAGGCAACAATTAATCCATATGAAGTCTTCAGAGACATGCCCATGTATCTACTCAAATTATATGTATCTTCTATACATTGCTTGTTGGGACTATTTCTAGATAATTTTTGTTGTTGTTGTTGTTATCCTAAATGGAATTTGGCGTTGTGCAGCTGTGTTACTCACCATGTTTGGCTATTGAAATGCAGGCACAGCCCTGCTGCTTTGTTTTCCTTCTTGTTTTAACTATAAGGTGACTCCTAGGCTGGGGATGTAGCTTAGCAGAAAAATGTGAGCTCAGCTTGTGTGAGACCCTGGGTTCAATCTCCAGCACCAAATAAAATAAAATAATAAAATAAATAAGTGGCCTCTAGAGCATTTACAATTATGTATGTGACTTTCATTATATTTCCATCGGACAGTGATATCTAGATAGAACAAATTTATCGATGAGTTTAAAATATGAGTTTCATTTTGAATTTTACAGACAAAATAGTAAAGGCTCTTAGAATAAAGATGCTCCGATGGGTTAAAACACACACCGGAATCTGAAAACTTGGTATGTAAATTATTTCATTTGTAGTTTTAAATTTTGATTACACGTTGAAATAATACTAAACTGGGCCATGTAGCTAAATAATATTTAAGGATAAAATATATTATTACAATTAATTCCGCTTGAGCTTAAAGTCACAACTTTGTTTAAATTTTGTTTAGAAGCACAACTGGAATATTCAGATCCAGACATGACTTGCATCGTATTTCTATTGGACAGCGATATTCTGGACATCAAATTTATCAGATAAGTTTAAGGGTGTATCTTACTTTGCATTTTGTAGCCAAAATATTAAAATCCTTCAGAAAGAAAAATATTTTAAATGGCAGTGGAGGAAGATCACACGACAGGGAAAGATGGAAGATATATCACAAAAACTCTGTTTGGCTTTATGTTCAAATCTCACAACTGTTTCGACTGGTCACAACCTGCCAGCACCTACCCTGACCTGGATAAGTGGGTCTTGCTACTTCTGTCTTTGTCTCTCCCAGGGAATCATCTTTATACCAGTCGGAGTGCTATTTCCACAATGCTAGTAAATTGAGATTGTTTCTTAGAAGACCTTCAGGGACTTGGAAGGACTGACTCAAGTAGTATGGGAAAACATACACCTAACAGTATGCAGTTGTCTATTCTAGGGACTGGAAAGCCAACTGCCCACAGGAACGTGGCAGCTAAGACAAAGGAGGAGAAACAGACGGAGGAAGACAACAAGGGTTAGTGAGAACTGTGGTCCTCTGAAGCTCACAGGCCCCGTTTAAAAAGAGTGAATTGGCTGGGGATTTAGCTCAGTGGTTCCGGTGCCTGCCTTGCAAGCACAAGGACTGGAGTTTGATCCCAAGTATCAAAAATTAAAAAAAATAAATAAAAGAAGTGAATCTTGTGCAGTTTCAGCCAATTACTGACACATGGAATGAGGACATCAGGCTGCCAGCGTTCTGTTTTTCAGGAGGAACTAATACAGATGTTTTATGACACCTCTTGATTTTTGAAACATTGTTTATGCCAAGCAAAACCTACTTGGAGTCTATCCTACAGGAAGCCAGTTTGCCCCTCTGCTCTCTATATGTGTACATTCCAAACCAGAGCAGGCATCTGGATTGAATCTCTCCGTTATTTGCGTTCAGTGTTTTCTTTGATATCTGCTTGGTGAGCCTATGGTTTGTTTTCTAAGTAAAACTGTAAGGTTTTTGTGGATATAATTTATATCTTCTTCAGAATGAGTCAAGATTGATTAATAATCATAGTAAATGGTACCACTCCCTTCTGTGGTTCTTAAATTTCAGTGTGAATCAGCACTACCTGAGTTGTTTGTTAAAAAACACTGATTTAAGGGCTGGGGATTTAGCCCAGTGGTTCCGCCACCTGCCTCATAAACGTAAGGTCCTGAGTTCAATCCCAAGTACCAAAAACCAAGAAGCAAAAAGCAAAACATAATTGTGTTTTTTTTTTTTGGTACTGGGGATCAAACTCAGGTCCTCGTGCTTGCCAGGAAGGCGCCAGAACCACTGAGCTAAATCTCCAGCCACAAAAAGCAAAACAAAACAACAAAAACAAACAAACACTGATTTAAACTGGCCATAGTGGTACATGATAATTCCAAGCACACTTCCTGAGGCAGAAAGATTCCAGGTTTGAGCCTAGCCTGGGCAACCAATTCAGTGAGACCCTGTCTCAAATTTTTAAAAAAAAGGAGTGGAAAAGGGAGTGGGGAGTGTAGGTTACTGCAACAGTGCCGGGTTTAATCCAGGAAACCCCCGAAAAAACACTCCAATACTGATTTACCCCCAGGAATTCCACTCGTCTCTGTATTCCCCCCGGAAATGTGAACATATATCCCTCAAAAGACGTGTACCAGAATGTTCAGAGTGGCGCTGCGATTACGATAGTCACAAGATGAAATCCATCCAATTGTTTATCATCAGCTTTAAGATAAATTTAAAAATTGTTATTAGCCATAGTAAAAAAACAGAACAAAACGGAACAATACTGGACAACAACAAAACAGACTCAACTGCAGTAGCAGGCAGGCAAACAGGCTGAGCAAAAGAAGGCGGAAACCACTGGGCCTGCAGCATATGTTCTGATTTTTATAAATACAGAAAGCAGCAAAAACAGGTCTATGGGATAGGATAACAGTAATTGTTGCCGAGAGCTAGGAACAAAGAAACACGAGAAGATTCTGGCAATATCCTGTTTCTTGTCCTGGGTGCTGCTAAGAATTCTCTGAGCTGCACACTTATTTACACTTTTATGCATATTCTCCGTGGAAAGTTAAAATGCCAGTTGCAGGGTGCCAGCAGAGACTGACCGAATCACTATCCTGCTTGCGGCTGGGGTTGTCAACAAGGTCCCCAGGCATTTCCATGCAAGTCATTAAGAGACCACCCTCTGGGTGTCCTTGAAGGACATACATATTTTCTTGTAGCAGCCTCTAGGCTGACTCAGTGAGCATCTGTCTTTCCTAGTCTCTTTTGTTGTATAGTCCCTCATATTACTAGAAGCTGAGAGTGACATAAAATTAAGAAACATTCATGTGCACCTTCAAACGGTAGCACTCGGGGCAACAGAGAGACGTAGGTCTGATATGGTGCCAGCTTATAAAATGCGGCTAAATAATATCAAATGTTTAAGGGGGGACTAATGCGTCAGATCCCTAGGAGGAAGTTTCAAGTGATCACATTGCTGAATTTCAGTGGACTCTTGGCTCCCAGGGAAGGAGAACAGACTAGAGGCCGAAAGGATCTGGGGCTTGGCCTGGAGATTTTGTGACTGCAGCAGGGCAGGAAAGGACCAGCCCTCCCGCTCTGAGAGCTGCATGTCCAAAGGCTTGTTGGTATCAGGCCGAGAAGGCTGCCACCGAGAAATTTACTCAGGTCCCACACATTCACCTTTGAGCACTTGCATTTAAAAATCCGGAAAGAAGGTAAAAGGAAAAGCATGAATTTCTCCTTTGCCTTCAGGAAAAGCCATGATTGTATCTATTACCTTCATGTTGGAACCCCTTGTGCCTTGCACCCTCCCTAGCACACGAGAATGCTCAATAAATGCATTTGTTCAATGTCTGTGTATCCAGCATCTACTCTAGGCTGGGTACCCATCTAAGCAGTTTAGACCAAAGAGAAACCCCTCTCCACAAGCAGCTTCTATTCTCAGTAGAGGGAGATGAAAAATAAATAAATGAACAAACAAATAACAGTGTGCTCCATAGTGATAAGTGCTTTAGAGAAAAATGAATCAAAGAGGAGGCACAAGCGGCTGGAGGTTTGAAAAGAAGAGTCACAATTTCACAGGGGAATGTTAAGGGAAGTGTTACTGAAAATTGGGGCAGAGATTTTGAAGGGGATGAGAGACCCAGTTATGCGGCTACAGAGGAATAGCAAGGACAGGCTAGGATATTGCTTCCTGGAGGCTGGAAGAGCTGATGATGAGTGAATGGAGAAGGCAATAAGTATGAGGTCAGACGGGATATGGGGCTAGCAGGTCACACCGAGGACTGCCACGGGGAGGCAGGAGTCATCCAAAGGCTCCACGTAGGGCGAGGACTTGATCAGACCAAGAGTCGACTGAATGATTGCAAAGAGCTTTCATAGATGTTATATTTGATCTTCCAAGCCATATTAAAAGATAGGAAGAGCAGTAATTATTGGCCATATTTTCAAAGAACTGTATCATACAAATTAACAGTACAAATTTCAGTGAAAACCAGACCTGGGTTTGAATCCTGACACAGCCATAGGCCCCCATCTCTGCCACAGACACCGTAAAGCTGTTGCACCCGATTTAATGTCTAGAGCTCTACTACCTTGGTGACACTTGTTGCTGCCTTCCTGCATTGGAAGGGGCCCTGCTGAGCTCATTCAGCTCACAGGCACTAGAGATGGTCCCCAGAGAGTGACAGCACTTGCTGGGGTCTGGAAAACACAGATTCCTGGGCCACTGAACCCCTCATGCTGTTGTTTTGGAGCTTTATTTCAATGATTAACAACCTAAAGCGATTGTATCAACAAAGCCAAATGACAGAGAGGTTGAGGGAGCTCTAGTAGGTTAAGCTAGCCTCTCTTAGCCTCATTTTTTCTCATCAGTAAATTGAGAAGAATAATAACATCTATTCTGAGGATTGTGACCATGATGTCTGCAAGCCCCATCAGCTCTCCCTGGATGATGTTAAGTATTCCATTGACACTAGCTACTAAGGATCTTAAAATTACATTGGTCTTACTGAAATTAATTCACCATAAAAATTAAAATTCACTGGGGTCACTCTAGTTTTTCACCCATAATAATATAAAGATTAGTAAAAGGAAAGTCGTATGAAAAAGGTACCATCCAAAATGATCCTCTCGGTTCCCCAGGGCCATAAGTGTCACTTGGAGAGACTCTGGAAGGAGGAAAGCACTGATGTCAAAGGATAGTTTCAAGGTCATATCTCTTGCTGTCACCTTCATTAAGACATGGACCAGTGTAAAGTCTGTTGTCTGAAACAGAGACGGGGTTAGATGGGGAGAGAGGTTGGCTTCTTCCAGGAAGGGTGAACATAAACACATTGGTGCCAGGCTCTCGAACATTTATACAAGACAGGAAACTTGTTTCGCACAGGACCACTTGTGCCCAGGGAGTTTGGCCAGTTAAAGTGGCTCTCAGAGTGCGTGAAACAGAACAGATCTCTGCAGAGTTCAGGATTTATGTTCCAGGACAGTGGGAGCGCCAGTCTGGATACACAACTCATGTGGGTTCTGGGCTGCCTTCTCCCAGGTCCTGGCTGTGTAGAAAACTGCCTTCTTGGGTTAAAGTATCACTCAGGTATTTACAAAAAGGAAGCACAAACTGGAGTTTGAGGCAATCTATTTGCACCAAACCCTGAAATATCCTGGAACACTGATTTTATTATTAAATAAGCGAACAGGAATTGGAATCAGTTGCCATAAAGGGGTTCCCCTTTAAGGATGAGGAAAGGCCGTGAGATTAAGTGACTTGCCTGAGGTCCCGTGGACACTGGACCCCAGAGGTCGAGTCAAGTCCCCAAATGCATTGTGTCAAAGCCTTGTTATTATTATTGTTGTTGTTATTGTTTAGCTATTGAGTTTCTTGAGTTCGTTGTGTGTTCTGGAGGTTGACCCATGTTCAGATGTGTAGCTTGTGGATGTTTTCTTCCATTGGGTGGGTTGCCCTTCCATTCTGTTCACTGAGTCCTTTGCTGTGCAGAAGCGTTTTGGTTTGGTGCAAATGCTTTTTGTGTCCTTTCTCTTTTGAGGCTCTGCTTTTACATTGTGGAATGAGTTTTGGAGTTCTATTGCATAGGAGGGTGGTTATGGCCAATAATGCTGTATTGTATGATTCAAAACAACTAAAGGAAAGTTCTCATCACAAGGAATATTCTCATCACAAGGAAATGATGAATATTTGAGGTGATTAACTTTAAATATCCTGGTTGATTATCACCTGTATATTTATGTACTGAAATATAGCACTGAGCTCAGTAAAATGTACAATTATCACCTGTCTACTTAGAAATAAAGCCCCATTATGCAGATGCTGAAACGACAGACAGGCCTATAGAGACACAGCAGAAGAGCTCAGACCCTGATGAAAGCTGCTCCAGAGGGCAGTGTGTAGTGACAGAGAATTTCACAGTATTTTTCCTGGTAGAGGTTTGACAGCATTTGAAACCTCAATGAAGCAAAGTTATATAGAGTTCTAGATCAGCTGTCTGAACCCACACATAGCTACGGGAAGTAGTCAAGAATACTGGGAAAGGAACCCTTCTCCACTGTTGATGGGAGTGCAGCCTGGTGCAACCACTATGAAAATCAATATGGAGATAACTCAAAGAGCTGGGACTAGAGGTTCCATTTGACCCAGCCATCCCTCTGCTGGGTATCTTTCCAAAACAAGTAAAAGAATCATACCACAGTGATATATGCACACCTATGTTTATAGCGGCACAGTTTGTAATAGCTAAAACTTGGAAACAGTTGGAGACTGGGTAAAGAAGATGTGGTTTTTCTATAAAATGGAATACTACTCAGCCATAAAGAATGAGAAATTAGATTCATTTATAGGAAAATGGATGCATATGGAGGAAATATTCCTAAGTGAAATAAGTCACACATGTGTAAATACCGAATAGTTTCTCTGGTGTGAAAAACTATAATAGTACATAAGATTCTAAGGAAATAACTGACAATGTGAAATGGGAAGAAAAGGGCTAAAGGTGTAGGGAAAGTGGGAAGGGTAGGGGAATGAAAGGTAATAAGGGAAAGAAAAAAAAATAGGAGAAAATGAAAAAATGGAAATAAAATGTAAATGGGGAGGGGAGGAGGGGTGAAAGGAGGGCAGGGACAAGGGAAAAAATGAGAACCAAGACCTGTCATGTAAAGGTACAAGATCCCAATGATGAATGTAATTGTACTGTATACCTAAAATGTACCAATAAACTCAATGAGCAAAAAAAAAAAGAATACTGGAAGAAAAGGGCCAAGTTCCTCATGGAATTAGCCCCTCTGCCACCACAGTCATACCTAACATGATGGGTCTGCTCTTACCACACCACAGCTGTCCTACGTTTTTTTGGGAGGGCGGGTACCAGGAATTGAACTCTGGTCCTTGTGCTTTTGAAACAGGCGGTGGAACCACTGAGCTAAATCCTGGCCCTCTGGGGTCATGCTAGGAAGAGTTGGCCTCCACAGGGCAATGACACTGGTTGGTGGTGGGCTTGGGTAAGAATGGAAGGGAAGAGCACTGCTAGCTCAGTTCACTATTGGTAGCTCATTGAAGATGCTCACTCAGATGTAGTCACACCTCTGAAGGAAAGCCGGGTTCCAAGTGGGATCCAGATATTATAATTGTTTAGCAGGCCCTGTAGCATTCCCAGGTATCACATTTGTAAATAACAACGACGATGACCTGAGCATATATAAACTCTTTTAAGCATCACCACGTAACCCACTGAACTTTTGAGGACAATGTACCCTCACCATTTTCTAGGAGAAGAAGCTCAGGCAGAGAAGCAAGCTCACCCTGGATCAGACACCTGCTAGCAGCAGAGGTTGGATTTAAAGTAGGGCGGGACAGCTTCACTATTTTCAATCATTGTTTAACACCCATGAAGCCCCAGAATACAAAGTCACTGCTTATTCTTAAAGAACTTGAATTTAAAATCATTTGCTGTGAGGGGCTTTGTGCAAGAAGCAAGCCACTTAGCTAGGGATGGAGCCCAATTCATGGAACAATATCTGAATCTCAGGAAAGCTTTGTTATTTCCTTGTCAACCTAATGCAGACCTTTGTGGGAAATATATATACCACAGTAGATATAATAACTAAAATGCTTTTGATCACAAATCACAAAAAAACCCTAATTAATAATTTTTTTGTTTTGTTTTTGTTTTTGGAGACAGGGTCTCACTATGTAGTTGAAACTGACCTGGAACTCACTATGTAGCCCAGGCTGATCTTGAACTCACAGCGATCATCCTGCCTCAGCCTCCTGAGTGCTGGCCTAAGTAATAATTTTCATAAAGGTAAAGACAGCTTTCCTCCACAACCAGGAATATGGAGACATGCAGGACCCCACTGGTACGTGGCTCCAAGATCCTCAGTATGTTGGTATTTTCTCTCATTATGGCCCTCTGATGGCTGTAGCAGTCCACCTATCACACCTTCATCACAGCCAGTATTCTAAGAAAGGAAATAAGGAGGCTGGGACAAAAAAATTTCCCTCATCTCCTTGGTGTCATAAATTGACTACTAGGCTGGGATGTCTCAATCCCATTTTTGTGGCCATTTTAGGCCAGACAATTGTTTATTATAGAGGCTGTCTTGGGCATTGTACAGTGCTGAGCAGCACCCCTGACCTGTATCCATTAAATAACACATTTCTAGTTATGGTAACAAAAATATCTCCTGACATTGCCTAATGTCATATGTGCATGTGTGCATGAGTGTGCATGTGTGTGTGAAATTGCCTGGGCTGAGAACCACAGCCCTACCTTGATCATTGGCAAGGAGAAGTGGGAGAGTGATTACTGACTCAGAAGCAGTCACGGTTCCTTCCTTGGGGCTGGATACACTGCTGCCTGAAAAGTGTCCCAGGGAAGTGCTGGGGGTGGTGGCTGTGGGTTTGGCACCATTCCTATGATACTTTTTTGTTGTTCAAACAAATACTATTGTTGGAAATCCAAGGGCACAATTAAAGGAAGATTCTTCTCTCTTCTCAAATCTAAGAAAGCATTCCTGGAGCATGTCAGGAAGAATCAGGTTATAAAAACAAGCATCTCAACGATATCTAATCCTTGGCCTTGGTGGCCACAGGAAACAATAGGGATTTAGGGGAGCCACTCTTCTTTTTAAATTCAAAACAAATTGCTTTTCTTTGGAGACTTTATTTCCCTTTTTCCTTCCTTCCTTCCTTCCTTCCTTCCTTCCTTCCTTCCTTCCTTTCTTCGTTTCTTTGTTTGTTTCTTTCTTTTTTTCTTTTTCTCTCTCTCTGTCTCTCCCTCCCTCCTTCCTTTTCTCTTTCTTTTGTTCTTTTCTTACCCTACCTCTCTGTCTACAAAAATAATCCTGTGTTTGTCCAGAGATATGTGGTAAATAGGGATTTTATGTGGAAAATTCACAAATCTGTTACTCATGCCTTAGATTTTATAAAATGTGTTGCCAAAGCATCCCTGGTCATTATCCCTAATGTGAGAATAGTTATCCCACTGAAAATATCACTATTACAAAGCTCAAGTTTGAATAGCAACTAACATGTACTGAACATTTGCTGTGTTTGGTGTGCTCTGAAACATTGCAGGGCACAGACGGGTGCTGGGAAGTGAGTGCCAGGACCACCTTTACAGAGAACAAACCTCAGAAGTCACATGACCGGCTGCCCACATCACATGGCCAGTAAGTGCAGTGTTCTAGACTACACAGAGTTCTAGACCCACAGAGACCTTAAATCACATCACCTTCTAGCGTTTTAAAGCCACTTTCTGAAATCAAGGCTATGACTCTTATCAAGCCAGTGTAAAAGAAAAGTATTTTATACCTAAACACACACAGTCCAAACAAAAACTTTCCATGTTGTTTGTCTGAAAACCACGGATAAAGACTGTCAAGTTGGAGGCCAAGGCCATTTTAATTTTACAGCACCTATTTTAAAACTTTCAGTGTGGGGCTGGGAGGTAGGTCAGTGATAAGTGCTTATCCAGAATGCATCAAACCTGGGATTCCATCCCCAGTATCACAAACAAAAACAAAAGCAAAAACAAAACAAACTGTCCCATGTGCAAGACAGGGTCCACAATTTTCTGCTACAGAATATTACTTGGACTTCAAGGGTACAGGTGTTATTTCTTGAGGTTTAAAAAACTTCTTCAGAAAAGAGCTGTCATCAAAGTTGTCTTCTACATTTTTTTAACATGTTTAATAAAAAATTAAATAGCAAAAACAATATGAAAAATTAAATGTGGAATCATTGGAATAAATTTCTGTTTTAGAGGATCTCACTTATGAAAACACTAACTACTGAGCTAGTACTGTGTATCTTGGGGAAGAGAGCTACTTTTTCATTGCTTTTGAAACAATTTTTCCCACCCTTTTAGAAGTATGAATGAAGGAATATTCAGAATATTCAAAAAGGAACCTGGCTTTCATTAGGGCTACAGACCTCAACAAAATAAAATAAAATAAAATCTATTAGTTTTTATACCTACCCCTGCAAACCCAGAGACATAAAACTTCGGGGATTGATTAAATTTGTTTTACTCATATGCTTTATAATGATTCTACCAAACAAAATTATAAACCCTTCAGCTCTGAGTAACTCTAAAGTGAGCACAGGACTGCACCTGTGTCCAAAGCCACTTTGTGTTCCAAGAGCCAGCGGTGTCAGCATGCACTTCAGGGGAAGTTTATTCTAAACCGATTGGAGCAGAGAAAACAACAGCTGACACAGGTATACTTATACGCTCCCTCCATCATGTACTCAGGACCTTTTTCCGCATCACAGTTTTTTAAAAGGTCTGATTCAAAGCATTTAACTTGACAATCAGGCTAATTAAATTAGCTTTTGGAGAATTAAAAAAAAAAAAAGAGAGAACAACCCTAAAGTGTGTGCATGTGTGAGTGTGTGTGTGCATACAGCTGTCCATCAGCATCAGTGTCTGTGGACATCTTCCACGAGCCTCAATGAATACTCAAGTCCCTTATTAAAATGGTGTATTTGCAATAACCTAAGTGCATTCTCTGACTTATAGCAACCCACACAATGTAAATTAGGTGCTATTTATTTAACAACAAAAAGTCTGTACATATTTATTATGGGTGCAGTTTTCTTCATTTTTGTTTCCTAATTATTTTCTGTGGTCGGATGAATCCACGAATACAGAACTCACAGATGTGGAGGGCTGATTGGCTGACGTGTGTGTGTGTGTGTGTGTGTGTGTGTGTGCATTCATGGCAGTTATATTCTATAAAGTTATAACAAACCCTGAATTAGCAGACACCAAATCACTCCTCCTACAGAGCTATTGGATGAGGTTCCTGCAAGCCAACGGATCAACTTGTAACCTTGGTTTATGTACTTTTCCGTTTAAAGATACCTTATTGAATACATAGTTTTGGTGCGTTAACATTGAGCTCACAGCCAGGAGTGCAATAACTCAACTCTTAATAAAATATATCCAACACATGTTTTCTCTGCAAAGTACACCACAACCTTCTTCTGCTTAAGACAAAAGACAATATATATCAGTCAGTACTTCCATTGTGGGCCATTTTAAACAATGAAATCACCAAAGAAAAGCACAGACATTTGAAAAACGTGGTGCTAACTACACCATGAAAAGAATACTTGTTCGCAGTAGAGAGGGGAAACAAACTGCAAAGCATTGCCTTGTCTGACCTCAGCTGGGAGCTGTGCACACTGGGTGTCTCAGAGTTTTACCTCTTTGCGTGTGTCTGTGGGTGATTGCAGAATGCTGCAGAATTGATTTTGAGGGGGTGCAAATATGTTGAATGTGTCCCCCCAAATCTATCTTTTAGCCAGGCATTAGGAGGCTGAGACAGGAAAATTTAAAAAGGGCTGAGGATGTAGCTCAATGGGAAGGCCTTGAGTTTAATCCCCAGTACCTACATAAATAAATACATAAAATCTATCCCCGTTTACTACAGATAAGTGAAGAAAACCATTTTCTGTATCAGGCCCTTTCATAGAAGCCCAGAGCAGGTCGTTTTCAGTGTGGATATAGTTTCTAGGCCTCAGAAGATAAAGAAAGGCAGAGGCCCTGAGATAACAGGGTCCTTAGAGAGTGACAATAGAAGCCACAGCCTTCCTTTTCAAGGCAAATCTGAGGCTCCCAAAACACGTACTAGATGTGTGAATGTGAGCAGAGCACACAAATGCTCCATATCCATTTTCTCAAGTGCGGGAAGGGTCAGATTTTGGAACAGACTTCTCTGAGTTGCTCTGAGAACTAAGTGAGACAATCCATGTAATCATGGAAAAGCCCAAATATTTCTTGGTGCAGCTGAGCTTGCAGACAACTGAGGAAACGCAGTATGTCGGACGCCCAGCCCTACTATGACATATCATTGTTTTAAAAAGTGAACCTTGGGCCAGGGATTTAGCTCAGTGGTTTTGCCTCCTGTCTTTTAAAAATTATTTCTTTGGGCCAAGGCTTTAGCTCAGTGGTTCTGCCACCTGCCTCACAAGCACAACGACCCGAGTTTGATGCCCGGTACCAAAAAAAAAAAAAAAAAAAAAAGCTTTACCTAAAAAGTGAACCTTAATCAAGGCTCTAGAGACAACCAAGGGGAAAGAGCAAGTTAAAGAGCTCCATGTTAAGGAAGTGATTGGAGGACTCCAGGAAGGAGGAAGGTAGAGTCTCTCCCGGGCCACAAGACAATGGCATGAGAGGAAAATAATATAAGGAAAGGGGAAATGTTACAGATTATGAGATGGAAGGGACACAGCCATCAAATGTCTATGGGCAATGCAACCAGGAAAAGACATTTTTGAGTCAGTTGGGGACATTTGAATGCATGCTATGAGCACACCATTTTCAATAATTATTGGTAATTTATTAAGTGTGATAATGGCATTACCATTCATAGAGAAATGTCCTTATACTTGAGAAACACATACCAAAGTGTTATAGGGTATATTTGCTTTACACTATTACAGAAAGGAAAACAAAAATGGGAAGGATTTGAAAAAATTGTTTCTACGGGGGTTGTTTGACTAAAATTAGTAGTAAATTCTTCCATAGCACTTAATTTCTGCTGTGTAAGGTTCAGTTACTTTGTGTAGTCATCATTACTCTGGGAGGCTAAGACAAGAGGATTGCAAGTTCAAGCTGTGCCTGGGTAATTTAGCAACTTGTGAGACCCCGACCAAGAAAAACAAAACAAAAACAACCAAACAAGCAAGCAAGCAAACAAAAACAACCAAGGGCTAGGAAAGGCTAGGATGTAGCTTTGTGAGAAGGCTTTGGGTTCAGTTCCATACCAAAAGTCAACCAATAAACCAACTGACTAAAACAAACAGTTGCTAAGTAAGATCTCAGGCAGCAGAGATCTGCCACTCCCCAGGTCCTCGAGGTCTTTTAAGAGATTCATGAACTCCAAGCTCCTTTCGTAATTACACTAATGAGCTAAAGCTGAGACCTAAAACCACAGAGGAAGGGTTCCAGGCAGAGGGGGCAGCATGTGTGAAGGTTCCAGTGAGTCCTGTGCATGTGGAGGTCCGACCTGCATGGCTAGATGTAGCTCAGAGCACCTGCCAAGCTTATGGGGTTGTTTGTAGGAGGATTCCTCTGCCTTATTGCTGTTTACTTGTACCGGCTGAAGCTTTGACACTTGGTTCCAAAATTCTTCATTGAAACAGGGTCGCAGTATGTAGTTTAGGCTGGCCTTCAATTCTCTATGAAGCCTGAGCTGGCCTTGAACTAGAGGCAAGCCTCTTGCCGCAGCCTCCCGAGTGCTGCAATTATAGGCATGTGCCACCATGCACAGCTCTGGCTCCAAAACTTGTAGCAAAGTGGGCCCTTGTTGAGGATGAAGGCCTACCCCAACAGCTGCAGGTTCAACAGAACTTTTCCCTTGTGTTTCTATACACCTAAAAATACTGTTTTAAAAGATAGCTTTAGCAACATTTTTGAAATTACTTCAGTCCACCCCACAGAAACCTTGTTCTTTTTTTTTTTTTTTTTTTTTGGTACTGGGAATCAAACTTGGGTCCTTGCACTTGCGAGGCAGGTGGCAGCACCACTGAGCTAAATCCCTGGCCCTATAAAGTTCTTTCTTATAAACATGGGTTCTTCTTGAACCCATGAGGTAGGCACAGAGAGTGCTTTTATCTCTGATCTAAAGAGCAGAAAACTAAGGTTCCAAAACATCAAGTGGCTTGGTCAGTGCCACTCAGTTAATATGTGGCCAAGCCAGGATGTGAAGCTCTTGTCTTGGTCACTAAATCATTATTCAATCCATTTATTGAAATGGTCATTGATTTCATGATTCTGCCTTTGGTGATGGCTGAGGTTGCAAGATGAAAAGGCTTTAACCTCCACAGTTCTCTACGTGTTTCAGCACAGTGTGCAGAAATAGTAGAAAATCACATGTCAATAGTCCTAGCACTCTGAGAGGCTGAGGCAGGAAGATTGCAAGTTGGGTGATTTAGCAATGTAGTGAGATGTGGTGTTAACAACAATTAAAAAAAAAAAAAAAAA